CACTTTATCATTTTGAAGGCGTGACTCCTTTAAGAGCAAACGAAGTTGCAGTATTCAACTTTAGAGTATCTTTTAATGTTAATGCTGCATGTATCCTCGATTCCCCAGTAGTGTCTAGTCCACAATTTTGTTTTAGAGTAGGCTCTGATTTGAGGAAATTCTCTATTTTGTGTCATTGGCATCACTCACTCACTCAGTCCTCTCTGCGCCGTCTGGCACTTGAGGCGACAGCAAGGGCTCTCCAATTGGCTCTGTCGGCTGCTGCTCTGGGGGCTGTCTGCAGGGTGAGTCCTCTGTTCCTCAGGTCTCTCTCAATGGTGCGCCGCCAAGTCTCCTTTGGGCGCCCTCTGTTCCTCTTCCCCTGTGGTGTCCAGCCAAGAGCTGTCCTGGTAATGGAGCTGGTAGGCATGCGGCAGACATGTCCCAACCATCTCCAGCGTCGCCTTTGGATCATCTCTGCCAGAGTCTCCATATTTGCCATGTTTCGGAGATTTTCATTGGAAATAGTGTTGGGCCAGAAGATCTTCATGATGCGACGTAGGCACTTGGTCTGGAACACTTCAAGTTTCTTCTCAATGGTGACAGTGGTCTTCCAGCACTCAGATCCATATAGCAGCACACTGAGGACATTGCTCCGGAATAATCTGATTTTTGTCTGGATGCTGAGGCTTGTAGATTTCCAAACGGGTTTGAGCATGGCAAAAGCTTGGTTGGCTTTGCTGAGTCTGGTCTTAATCTCTTGCTCGCAATCACCGTCTGTTGTCATTTTGCTGCCCAAGTAGGTGAATTCCTCTACGTTCTCCAGCTGCCTCCCGTTGACTGTGATTGGGTCTGTGTTTCTGGCATTTTTCCTCATGACCTGCGTTTTCTTGGTGTTAACTCTGAGTCCTATGGTGTTGGCTATTTCGCTGAGGGTCTCCGTCTTTTGCTGTATGTCCTGATGTCTACTAGATAGAAGCCCCAGGTCATCAGCATAGTCCAGGTCCTCTAGGACTGTGGTCAGAGTCCACTGAATGCCCTGCCGTCTTCCTTCGGTGACGTTGCGCATGAGCCAATCCACTGCAAGGGAGAAGAGCATTGGAGACAGTATGCAGCCTTGCTTCACGCCAGTATCCACTCCGAAGGGTTCTGTCAGTTTGTTGTCATGTATTACATGGCACTCGATGTTTTCGTAGAGGGACTGGATGATGTTCACCAGTTTCTGCGGGATGCCATAGTGTCGTAGGATCCTCCAGAGGGATGCTCTGTGAAGGCTATCAAAGGCCTTCTCAAAGTCAACAAACACCAGGTAAAGTGGGCTGTTCCACTCGTGCGACTGCTCAAGTATCTGGCGGAGAACGAAGATGTGGTCAATGTAAGATCGTCCTTTTCTAAATCCAGCCTGCTCCTGTCGTAGGATGGTGTCCACTGCTATGGTGGTGCGCTGGAGGATGATGCGGCTAAAGATCTTGCTCGTGAGGGACAGCAAAGTGATTCCTCTCCAATTGTTGCAGTCTGACAGGTGTCATTGGCATAGGCTGAACATTTCTATAGAAGTTCCTTTGCAGCTCTTTTATATTCTGATTAGACAATGTTCACCATTCATATGACTGTGTTAAGAGATCTTTTATGTCTCAAGTTTTTTGGTTTATTTTAAGAAATGTTCCAGTACCATCCTAAAATTTCTATGGAAAAAATGGAATGTCAAAACTGTGGATTGATGTTATAATTATGATGTTTTTCCCAAATGCTTTAATTAGTAGAAATGATAAACATGTTATAACACTAAGCCCCAACTTGGAAAATGTGAGTTTTAATGAACACCAAAACATTGGTTTCCATCGATATCAAAGGCATTAGCTTAAAAAAGTTTGAGGTGTGAAGTGAAGCTTATTTTTCCAGATGTAATTTTTATGCTTTATGATGTGAAGAGAGTAGAACACAGAGAATAAGAAGAACCATATTTTATTAGCACAACATTAAATTTTGAGGTATACATTTGAAAATCATATTGAATATCATACATATTGAAATTCACATTTAAAACATGTCAAAGCATTGTTTTTTTAACGTCACAATATTAATTTTGTATCCGTGCTTGTAAATAGTTATCCATCAACAAAAGTTTTCCTTCTAAATATTTTCACAACACCAACAAATTCTAATACGAATAAAAATTAGTTATTTGCCATACAACCACAGCATTTTTTTTTTTGCATTGTTCAAAAATATATGAAAAATACTTGATGCAAATCTTTTAGGTTCAATAAAAAAAAAGAACAAAGAAAAAAAGATACACAAAAAGATATAGAAGTAAATATTTTGGTCTGTTGGTATTGAATGCATTGAATATTTAAAGGTCTCTGCTTCTAAATCCTATTTTTACAAACCAAAGACTTTGCGAAATTATCTATCTTATCATAGTATTGGTTTCCCATAAGGACAAATTAATTAAACCAAGAGAGCTACTGGCAGAAAAAATTATCTTACAGGGATTTCAAAAAACTCGCTTTAATATCTACAGTAATTTTTATGACATAAGCAAATTTACCCTAACAACATTGGGTCACAATTTGACTGACATTCGTCATAGGCCAATTATTAGGCCTTTTTTGGTTTTATACTGAACTGACATCGGAAAGTTCCGTCTTCCCGATGAATCCAGCTGGTCAACAGGGGAGGGTTATTCCGACACCTGGTCCCACTTCTGGAATCTCCCAGGGGGTCCATGTTTTATGCCCTCTTGACAGATTTGTATTGTTTATAGTTTTCTATGGGATCAATCAGTGTTCGTTATCTTTATCTTTTATATAATTATCATGCTGTATAACTCTGGTTTAAAAAAAAAAGAAGGTATGTTCAGTCTACTTGATCAGTATTTGGAGCTCATGGTGATGGGTAAACAGGAGGTGCCTTTTCATTCTGGCACCTAATCACACCTCTTGAATTTCCCGTGGATTTTGTCTTGATCTTAAGTTTTAAGCTGTTTTATTTTATTTTTAAAAAGATCGAACATTGTTCGTTTTCATCTTTCCATATAAGTAGAGGTAACTGAAGACAAGGAACTCGGATGGCATATTGATGAAATAGTGTTGATGTAAATCACTTAACTGTTACATACACATTACACGACAAAGAACATATGAATGGTTTATTTCCGCTAAATAAATGATAAATATTAAATATTAGCATGTAAAGCTATTGTCTACAACCGCAAATAAGATCAGTTTATATCCAAAACACACAGTATTCCGTATACTCTATGGATTGAAACTGGATATCTAAGAACTTCAATGAAATATAATGGTCAAAATTCGAACTATCTAAGGTTATAGTTTCAAAAGGAGGTTTTTATATTTATAAAAGAATTAGGCAATACCTTTATTTTACATCAAAGTTCTTTTCATTGGGTTGATAACTTTTGGAAACAAAACATTTCAACTACAGACATAAACGTCATATGAAGATGATGATGCTACTATATTGCAACAGAATTGTAGTTAATATTTTCTGTATAATACCGGGGGTATCACGACTTATATATTGTAAAAGCATTTTACAGGAATATATATATAAAAATTATTTCATCTAAAAGTTATTGAAACTTCAAATTTTTGGATTGGTTTGATTAACACATCCTTGTACTTTCACAAATTTTAATTTTATTCTTAATACTTAGGAAAAGTGGCAAGATATTTTTTAGATGAAATACGATTTTTAATACATTTTCCTGTGAAATCTATTGCAGTATATAAATCATGATATTATACAGAAATTTGAGAAAATATCAACTTCAAATCTGTGTCTACAGATGCACCTTTAAAATAAGTAAGAGTCAGAGTGATATTTTCAATGAGTTGGTAGGATTGAGAGAAAAAATGTTCAACCCGTTTTGTTATATCATTCATTTCTGTTGCCTCCCAAAACGATTTACAGGTAACGAGAGGGGGGTGTCTATTAAGCACTGTGTCGATGTTAAAATATTACACAAATTCTATAAAACACGAATAATTATTTTTTAAAATGAAACAATAAATTTGTAGCTTTCACGAAACAAAAATTCCCTACCTTTGCTACCAAAGGGTTTCTTACCCGCTACTTTCCTCACAATCATCCACCAACCCTGCTACTAAGAGTCGGAATTTTTTCCTCGAGTTTTCATTGGAGTTGATTGAAACCATTAAACCAATCAACAATTGCATTTTCTAAATAACAATATCTAACAATTTATCATTAAGTCTAATGCTGACTGTCGTTTTTCATACTAATTGTTAGTCCATTATTTATACACTGAATTGACAATGGATTTTTTCCGTTATTTCCCGATCATGACAAGGAGCACACGGCGGGTGTGACCGGTCAGCAGGGGATACTCACTCCTCCATGTCACCTGATCTCACCTCTGATGTTTGCTCTGCTCCTATTTTGAAATGTTTTATGAACTTTGATATTGAATACTGTGTGTTATCTCCGTATCCTTCTGCATTCGGGGAATATGTTGATTCTTGAATCTTGAGAATGAAAAACACAAGTAAACAGCGATCCGAGATATGTACCATTCAATAAATAGCATGCTGTCATCAATTCTTCAGTTGATGTGCAAATAATGTGATCAGAAATCTTTATTGCAGATATAGATTTACACGTTAAATAACTAATAAATATCGCTCTATACCTTACTGTTAATTATTCTCTAAAATCTGTAGTTTAAGATTTTTAAAAAAAATTGTTTTTAATGTATGCGTATGTGATGAGATTATTTGAGATCAAATTAAGTAAATAATCCCGTTTTTTAAAAGCGCCATAGGGCAAGTATTTTTTTAGGAGAGTTGCGGATCAGATATACTTGGATAGCAAAGGATTTTCACCAAATAATTCAATCAATTTTTTACGATTTGATCATCAAATTAAAATAATAAATACTGATTGATCCTAAAACACATAAAAAAAAATGAAAAGAAATCGGTCAATTATATCCATAGTGTTTGCCCATGTTCTTCTTTTTGACGGTTGTGAAGTTTCTACAGGGAACGGTTAGCGTCACCTGAATTTACTCTTCTTCTATTTTTGCCCGACACTGTGTTTCCAACAAAACAAGGCAGAAGATGTTCACGATAATAAAAGAAAAGTCTGGTTTGAACAATGACCAATACCATCATAATAACACTAAGGACCATCAGTATTTCTATGTATACCACCATGTATACATTGTCTTTGGCAGGGAGAGAGGATCCAATGGCCGACAGATAAATCGAGTAGGCCAGAAATGTGGTGATTGCAAATGATATTTTCTCGCCAGACTCCACAGGAATTAGAAAGAAAAACAAATTCATCACAGACAGCAAAGAGAGTGGCAACAACACCGTCAGTACCACAAAATACGGTTTTCTTTGTAATGTGAAGCTAGCAGTCAGACCGGTCTTTCCGTAAGGCATACTGGAAACTCTGCCGGCCTCAACTTTCCACTCTGTTGTTTCAGGTACATTTAGAACGCTAGATTCTGCATTCATTATTACGTCGTCAGGAGGGTATCCGAGAACAGAGAAAATAAAATCACACGTTTGTGTATCGAAAGGGTACTTCTTAAGATTTAATTCACAGACAACCGAATATAAACCGCCAGGAATCCATTCTATATCACCGACTGATGAGACGCGAAAAATCTTTAAAGAATTCTGAAGAGTCTCAAATTCCCCAACAGGATTACCTAAAGCTATAGTGGGCCACCATATGTCATTTGTTTTGAACTCTATGCTACTTATATTGGAATGCGCTTGTTTGTTCCAGACTAGAAATTCATCATTCCAAGAAATCCTGAAGTAACCGAGCAGAGAAACACTTTCCTCCTTTTCATTGATATCATTAATGCGATGGACGAAAAACGAAGCGTTAATTACCATTGGATCAATCTGATTCTTTCGGGGTCGTAAGTAAGGGTCGTAGTCCCGAAGTAAAGACTTCCTAAATTCAGTACCATGAAAGTTGAACACGTCAAAAGGAAAAGATTTCTTTTATACTGCATCCTAGTAGTTGTACAATAGAAATAAAATTACTCTAAGCAGTTTTTGTGATGATATTACGGACAAACTAGTTTTTATGTTAAATGCAGACATTCTTAAATCATTGACACACATTTTGTAGCATTTCATTGTCATTGTAAATAAAAGATAAAACTGATAGAAGTGTTGGTGATTGCAGAAACAATGATCAATATTTGCATTTGCAACTTGTCAAATTGAGGATTAAAAGGATTCGATTTATCAGTAAAATGATAAAAGCGTTGTCAAAATGATGGAAACTAATGAACTCTAGTTAACACATTAATACCTTCAGTATTCAAATACCATTATCATTAATGTTTTTTTTTATATAAAATAAAATCTGGCAACTTTTAGTTTAATGTTGACTCACCTCTTCAAATCTCAGATGTTCAACTTAGCCAGTGACTGTTCCTCCGCCAAACACCAGCCATTACAAATGTCTCGGGGATTCTTTTTGTAGTATTCCGGAATTCTGTAGATTTGTACGTTTTCGGTTTTAGATGTTATTCATGTTACTTCCGTAATAAATAGTTTGTAACCGCATGGCTGAGTTATAAATCTCATTTATTCGAGTGAATACACAACATATCTGGCGACGAGGATGGCCACTGGACGTATTGGAAGAATCGATGTGTTCGATCCAGCGATCGAAACATGGACAGCGTACGAGGAAAGGCTGGATAACTTCTTCACAGCAAACACAGTGGACGACAACAAAAAAGTTCCCGCGCTACTGAGCCTCGTGGGCCCCAAAACATACGCATTGTTAAGAGACTTAACAGCACCCGAATTACCTAAGGCCAGGACATACAAGCAACTTACGAAAGCGCTGAAAGAACATTATTCTCCAAGGCCGTTGGTTATAGTAGAAAGATTTAGATTTCACAAGCGAGACCAGGAGGAGGGGGAGAGCGTTCGTGAGTACATTGCAGCTCTACGTAAACTAAGTGAGTTTTGTGAATTTAAAGACGTCCTTAATGACACATTACGGGACAGACTTGTGTGTGGGCTGAAAAACGAACACATTCAAAAGAAACTTCTCTCAGAGAAAAACCTCACTTACCAATCTGCGCTCGAGATCGCCATTGCGATGGAGACGGCGACAAATGACGCCCTGGAAATTCAAAGGAAACACCTTTCCACTACGCCCAGTGTTCACAAGCTAAGTGCACCTAAGAGTAAGAAAAGATTTCAACAAAAGCAACCTACGGCAGCCCAGCGGTGTTACAGATGTAATGGAAACCATACCTCAGATGACTGCAGATTTATCCATGAAACTTGTAGACAGTGTGGAAAAAAGGGACACATACAGCGAGCATGTCGTTCAAAACCAGCCTCTGTGAAACCACTGCATACGAACAGTAGAAAACATGTGCATGAAATGCAGGTAGCTGACGATTTTGAACCTATGTTCTCACTGAGAGTCAATGCTATGGGAGGACTCAAGGATGCAATCTGGATAAAGCCTCATGTGAATGGTCAAGAATTTCCCATGGAACTGGACACAGGGTCAGCGATTTCAGTTATCAACAGTGAAACTTATAAGCAGAATTTTTCAAATGTAAAGTTGATCGACACAGACGTAAACCTAAGGACGTACTCTGGAGAGAACATCACCCCACTGGGCGTGTGTTCAGTCAAGGTAGAGATGGATGGTCAGAAACGGCATTTGAACTTGTATGTGGTGGACAAAGGGGGGCCACCCTTGTTTGGCCGCGAGTGGTTGGGGAGCCTTAGACTGAATTGGGCCTATATCAAAACACTAGAGACTAGAAAACAAGGTGTAAGTGAAGTGATTGAGAAATACAAAAACGTGTTCACTGCTGATCTGGGAAAATTAAGGGACATATCGGCCAGAATAAAAGTAGACGAGTCGGCAACACCCAAGTTTTGTAAAGCTCGAGTGGTACCATATTCGTTGCGTCCCAAGGTTGACAAAGAACTAGACCGTCTTATCGAGACTGGAATCCTCAGTAAGGTAGAACACAGTGAATGGGCTACTCCCATTGTTTCAATACCCAAAAAAGATGGAACTGTGAGAATCTGTGGTGATTTTAAAGTCACTGTGAATCCTGTCTTGGATGTAGACCAGTACCCTCTACCCAAGATCGAGGACATATTTGCAAGTTTGGCGGGAGGACAACAGTTTACAAAACTGGACTTGAAGAATGCGTATCTTCAGATGACAGTGAGAGAAGAGGACAGGCATTATCTCACGATAAATACTCACCGTGGTTTATTCCAGTACAACAGGCTCGTGTTCGGAATAGCCTCCGCGCCCGCAATATGGCAGAGATCCATGGATACAGTTCTTCAAGGACTCGAGGGAGTACACTGCAACATGGATGATATGATCATTACTGGGAGAACACCTGAAGAACACCTTAAGAACTTAGAGCAAGTCTTGAAGCGACTTGACCGTTACGGGCTAAAAGCAAATGTAGACAAGAGTGAATTTCTAAAAGACAAAATTGAATTTTGTGGTCATGTGATTGATGCAGAAGGACTCCACAAAACATCAAAGAAAATTGAAGCGGTGCTAAATGCTCCAGAACCAAAGAACGTGTCGGAACTCAGAGCTTTCTTAGGACTCGTAAACTACTATGGACGATTCATGGAGAACTTATCTACTCACTCAGCACCCTTATATGACCTTCTGAAGGACAATTGCAAATTTGTATGGTCAAAGACATGCAGAGCAGCATTTGAGAAAATCAAGGAACTCGTGACGTCAGACCAAGTACTTGTGCACTACGATCCACAGAAGCCTGTAACTCTGGCAACAGATGCTTCTCCCTACGGACTGGGAGCCGTGCTCTCTCATGTGATGCCGGATGGTTCTGAAAAGCCGATCGCTTTCGCATCTAGATCACTTAGTCAAACAGAGAGGAAGTACGCACAAATTGATAAGGAAGCGCTAGGATTAGTTTGGGGAGTGAAGAAATTTCATGCATACCTGTATGGGAGAAAGTTCACCTTAGTGACTGATCATCAACCACTGGTATCTATTTTTCATCCCGAGAAAGGACTACCTGTCACTACAGCAGCTAGACTACAGAGATATGCGCTTTTTCTAGCAGGATTTCAATACGATATCCGATACAAAAACACAAAGAAACATAGCAACGCTGATGCCTTATCAAGACTTCCTGTGCCGCCAGAAAGCGAAGGATCCAATGAAGACGCTTATGACGTGACTGAACTGTATATGATTCAGCAACTTGAAAGCCTACCTGTTAATAGTAAGGAAGTGCAGAGAGGAACAGTAAAAGACACCGCTCTGAAAGTGGTTTATGACATGACAGCTTCAGGATGGCCAGTATCTTCAAATAACTTAAGTGAAGATCTGAAGGCATACTTCTCTCGCAGAAATGAAATCTCTATTTATCAGGGATGCTTACTATGGGGAATCCGTGTTATCATTCCCCAGGACCTTCGTTCACGTGTCTTAGAGGAGCTTCATGAAGGACACCCAGGGATCGTCAAGATGAAAACCGTAGCACGAAGTTTAGTATGGTGGCCAGGTATTGACAAAGACTTAGAGACACTTGTGAAAAGTTGCAAAGGTTGTCAGGAGAACCGACCTATGCCACCAGAAGCACCTGTTCATCCGTGGGAATGGCCCCAACGTGCATGGCAAAGGATACATGTAGACTTTGCTGGCCCGTTCCAAGGAAGCATGTTCTTAGTCGTAGTTGATGCATTCTCAAAATGGCCCGAAGTTGTCCAGATGTCAACAACAACGGGAGACCGCACAGTGGATGTACTGCGTAGGATATTTTCAAGGAATGGCCTACCAGATCAACTAGTCTCGGATAACGGACCACAGTTCGTCTCCGAAACCTTTAGAGACTTCATGAAGTACAACGGAATTCGTCACATTACGTCCGAGAACAAATGGGCTAGCGGAGAGACTAGTCCAGACACTGAAACAGTCAATGCGCGCATCAAAAGAGGAAGAAACTTCTACTTCTAAGCGTCTTGCCAACTTCCTACTTACGTATAGAAGTTCGCCGCATTCGACAACAGCGGAAACACCAGCTAAACTTTTCTTAGGACGTGAACTTTGTACCAGACTCACACGACTGAAGCCGAATGTTCGTAACACAGTGGAAGCTAAACAAGAAAGCATGCAGTACCGCATACCCGAACCCGTTCGACAGTTCAACACCGGTGACAAAGTTGCTGTTCGCGACTATCGCAGCCATAGTGAGAAATGGATCGCAGGGACAATTGACTCGAAAACAGGACCTCTTTCGTACAAAGTGGAAATTGCACCAGGGACAACATGGCGTCGGCATACAGACCAGATAAGATCTGCAGATTTCACCAACTCTGCGCAAATACCTCCAACCCTGAATCTAGATCAACAGTTAATTCGATCGAATGATGGTACATTGTCGGCCGAAACATCAGATGACTGTGACCGGGACAAGTTAATCGCGACACCGACCAAGAAACAAGCACCCGAACTGATGCCTATACCGACATGTTCACCGGCAGCAACTTTCGTATCTGAAAAACGCTATCCAACCCGTTCCACTCGTAATGTTGTGCCAAAACGCTACCAGCAGTAATAATGGACTGAATGATATATAAATGCATGCAATGTTTGATTTTTAGAATGGTATTGCTTTATGATTGCTTATGTTACATGTAACCAAGTAGTGCAAAAATGTAACCTTTTTTTTTGTCTGTCTCATCTTAAAATGTAAATTTGAAGTCTAGTGAAGTCTAGTCATGAATGTAAATCTAGTCAAAGTCTAGTCATAAATGTATTTTGTATACAGATGTCCAAGTAATATTGATATTCCTTCTACTAGTCATAATTTGATTTTTATTATTAAATGAAACATGAAATATGTGTCCATTACATTTAAAGGGGGAGGAATGTAGTATTCCGGAATTCTGTAGATTTGTACGTTTTCGGTTTTAGATGTTATTCATGTTACTTCCGTAATAAATAGTTTGTAACCGCATGGCTGAGTTATAAATCTCATTTATTCGAGTGAATACACAACACTTTTGATGTTTTTTGATGGTTTTTTTTTTGTTTCATGGTAGACGTTGGCAAATGAGGAACCCTTATTGGGCATGGTCTGAAGTGTCGAGTTAAGGTCTAAGTGGGAAGCCCTACCGGCTAATGGTGACATCTCATTAACTGAAATGTTTTTTTGAGATGCCAATCAACAAACAATCATACAATGAAATTTTAAAATAACAAACAACGATTATTCCAAAAGGTACTTTCAAGCAATATCCAAATTACGAGGAGAGACTAATCGGATATGGTGATGTCTCTTTGTTTTGGTTATAAGTAATAAAGTGTTTCAGCCGAATCACTGCATTTCTATTGGTTCAGCAGGTATGAGCCATCTTAGGACTAAAACAAATCTAAAGATTGATTGATAGTATGTTGTTTAACGTCCCTCTCGAGAATTTTTCACTCATATGGAGACGCCACCAATTGCCGGTGGAGAGCTGCAAATTTTGTCCTTTACTTGGCACTTAGGGCCATTGAGCAGTGAGGGGTCTTTTTCGTGCCAGCACCTACTGCGACACGACAGGTTTATACGGTCTCATCCGAAGGACACGGCAAATCTAAAGAATTACCCAAGTACCAAGAGAGGACATCCTTATAGGTGTCTTAAATTTGTATATGGTCAAATATTGATGCCTTTTATGTGTTTATTCAAAGGAGAATGAAAGACGGGAATTCTGCTGAGAACAAGTTCTCAGGGACTAAAACAGTAATTTGGACTCCCTAGAGCATCATGATTAAATACAACCCAACTCGACCAATGAAACAAAATCCATGTGCTTTGCTTAAAAATGACCTTCAACGACCAACAATGAGGTCACGTTTCTTTCCAATAATTTGTAAATAAGCTCTATTTTTTTTTTACGCCAGTTGTGATTTTTAAGAAGTTGTAGTAGATATAAACAATATTTTATGGACTTTCGTATTGAATAATGTTCGTCATCTTCATATCATTCATTTCGGACATGGCACATTCATTTAATAAGAGTTGTAACAAATTGTTTGATAAAAATTTACAATCGCTACATAAATATGCCGTTTGGTGGATTAGGACTTGACAAAGAGCACACGGCGGGTGTGACCGGTCGGCTGGGGATGCTCACTCCTCCTCCGATGTTTGGAGGTCCGTGTTTGCTCTGTTCCTATTTTGTATTGTTTAGTGGACTTTCGAGATTGAATACTGTTCGTTATCTCCATATATTTCATTGTATAATAAACGAGATGATTTCAGCTTTTCGATCAGCAACTTTACTTTCTTGTAATATTCTGCTATAACTTGCATATTCACGGTGATTACATCTTGGGATATTAATTTCTAAACCGAGGCAGGCTATTTATAAATAACGCTGCTTTCGGTACTTTGACGTTATCATCCGTGTGCCGTAGGGCGATACATCCGTGTGCCGTAGGGCGATACAACACAACATAAAATCTCATAATTGTTGTATTTATGCACGTATATTTTTGAAATTTGATATGTATCTTGATGAAAAAAAGTACTAAAGAGTGGTGAACATTTTAAAATGAAGTTTTCACTCGAGACAACATGTCTACGATTCCTAGTAATATCAGCGTAAATGCAATACACGCAGTATTCCGCTGACACTTCGTTCTGAAAATAAATGACTTATAAAGATGGGTCGACCTACTTTATTAAGGTTGTATTTGCAAACAAGGTCTTTGTATTGATCAAAGAATCAAAGAAATAAAAACCCTTAATTTTATATAACTAAATTAATATGTTTAATTAAATAATTAAATCAAAATGTTTCATGAGTGAAACATGCTTTTGCATACCATATGAACTATAGATGTAAACAATGCCTGAAGGCGCTATTGGTACTATACTGCAATCAAAATAAGATAACAATCCAAACAATAAAGTGATTATAGTGGCACTTTTGGTTTTAAATAATGAAGGATATGGAGATAACATAGATATTGTCAATGACTCAAGCATCTTTTTATGAGTATATTTGTGTGTGCAACTAGAATGTGTTTTACCAAAAAAGTCTTGCAAATGACCAATGACCAAGTAAGTAAATTTACGAGTTCCATTTTTATTGAAAAAGCAGCTGACAATGATATCAAAAAGAACTTCAATTTATAGTGGAGAATGGTTGTGTATAGAAGTTTTGAAGCTGTTGATTTTTATCTTGTGAATTCAAATTGAACAGTATTCAATAGATCATTGTATCAAAGCATCCCCTGCTGTCCGGGAAATAACGAAAAAAACAAGTCAAAATCAGGAGACTCATTTGCTGAGCAAACACGAAATGAACTCCAAAACAGAGGTTTTAGAAATTTCATACGTAGAGCATGCGTAGATGCCGTATGCAGGTGATGAAGGTATTTGCTGCATAATTAAAAAGTCATCACGTTTATCATAGAGCTTGGTTATTAGATTACCATTTATGTCTTTTTCAAGTAAAATATCCAAGTATGAAACAGATGTGTCAGACTCTGTGGTATCTTTTATATGAAGCTCACCATCGACATAGGAATGGAAATTACCATTGTTCATGACAATGCGTCGATATATCTAAATGTCAGTTGAAGGCCACAGCAAGTTTTTATCTTCTCTTTACGCATAAGATTTTGCAAAAATTCTGCTTCATATGAATAAGAAAAAATAACGATTTGGTAAAATCCAATAGATTGTTCGTCAGAAACTCAAGCATCTTTTTATGCGTATATTTGTGTGTGCAACTAGAATGTGTTTTACCAAAAAAGTTTTGCAAATGACCAATGTAAGTAAATTTAGTTCCATTTTTATTGAAAAAGCATGACAATGATATCAAAAAGCCTGAACTTCAATTTATAGTGGAGAATGGTTGTGAAAAACGTCAGTTTTGAAGCTGTTGATTTTTGGTAAAATCTTGTGAATTCAAATTGTGAACTCCAAAACAGAGGTTCGGATTAGATGATAAATTGTATTTGTCATGATCGGGAAATAACGAAAAATCCGTCGTCAATTCAGTGTATAATTAATGGACAAACAATTAGTATGAAAAAGAAGCATTTGACTCGATGATAAATTGTATTTGCTGATCATTGTATCAACCAAAGAACTTACGAAATTTAAACGAGACTGCTGAAATTCTTGTTTCATCGACTTGTTTTTCAATAATTTACCTCGTTTTAGAAATTGTTCATACGTAGAGCATGCTCTTGCTCTTGCGTATCGAATCAACTGAGATATATAAACTCCGTATGCAGGTGATGAAGGTATTTGCTGCATAAGTAAGGGAAGTTGATGATAGAAAAGTTAAAGTCATCACGTTTATCATAGAGCTTGGTTGTTAGATTACCATTTATGTCTTTTTCAAGTAAAATATCCAAGTATGAAACAGATGTGTCAGACTCTGTGGTATCTTTTATATGAAGCTCACCAGGATATATCGTATCGACATAGGAATGGAAATTACCATTGTTCATGACAATACGTCGTCGATATATCTAAATGTCGAGTTGAAGGCCACAGCAAGTTTTTATCTTCTCTTTACGCATGAGATTTTGCAAAAATTCTGCTTCATATGAATAAGAAAAGTCTGCCAATAACGGAGCGCATTTGGTACCCATGGGAATTCCAATAGATTGTTGGAAGACCTGGTCTCCAAAAACCACATAGATATTGTCAATCAGAAACTCAAGCATCTTTTTATGAGTATATTTGTGTGTGCAACTAGAATGTGTTTTACCAAAAAAGTTTTGCAAATGACCAATGACCAAGTAAGTAAATTTACGAGTTCCATTTTTATTGAAAAAGCAGCTGACAATGATATCAAAAAGCCTGAACTTCAATTTATAGTGGAGAATGGTTGTGTATAAAGTTTTAAAGTCGTCAAGTTTTGAAGCTGTTGATTTTTGGTAAAATCTTGTGAATTCAAATTGTCCAGAGCAAACACGGAACTCCAAAACAGAGGTTCGGATTAGATGCCATGGGGAAGTGAGCATCCCCTGCTGAGCAGTCACATCCGCCGTGTGCTCCTTGTCATGATCGGGAAATAACGAAAAATCCGTCGTCAATTCAGTGTATAATTAATGGACAAACAATTAGTATGAAAAACGTCAGTCAGCATTTGACTCGATGATAAATTGTATTTGCTGATCATTGTATCAACCAAAGAACTTACGAAATGATGACTTTAAACGAGACTGCTGAAATTCTTGTTTCATCGACTTGTTTTTCAATAATTTACCTCGTTTTAGAAATTGTTCATACGTAGAGCATGCTCTTGCTCTTGCGTATCGAATCAACTGAGATATATAAACTCCGTATGCAGGTGATGAAGGTATTTGCTGCATAAGTAAGGGAAGTTGATGATAGAAAAGTTAAAGTCATCACGTTTATCATAGAGCTTGGTTGTTAGATTACCATTTATGTCTTTTTCAAGTAAAATATCCAAGTATGAAACAGATGTGTCAGACTCTGTGGTATCTTTTATATGAAGCTCACCAGGATATATCGTATCGACATAGGAATGGAAATTACCATTGTTCATGACAATACGTCGTCGATATATCTAAATGTCG